GGGTGTGTGGGTTGGGTGTGTGGGTTGGGTGTGTGGGTTGGGTGTGTGGGTTGGGTGTGTGGGTTGTGCTGGGTGGAGATGGAAGGCATTGTTAGCAATCCAAGCATCATTGTGTTGCCATTGTAACCTAATCTCAAAATATGCCCTTTTCAGAAATAGAGGAAAACTTAGGTCTTCTAAGCCTATTAGTTGTATAGAAATAGACAAAAGTTAAAGTATGGTGCTGCTCTTTGTAGGAAGTTAGTGTTAGATAATGATTGTCCAAATTTCTGAAGGAAGAGGCGCTACCATGAAGCTGAATTGTGGACATTTACCATCTCAGCTCATTTTTAATAATAATAATAATAATGAGGGATTTTGTAGCCTCTGGTACTTTTAGGAGCCAATTCCAAAATTTGGAATTTGAGGATATTCTGTTCAAAGTTTCCAGTTCGGATCTGTACAAATCCAGACCAGGACTGAACAATACTGAAACTTCAGAATGAAACTCAAAATTCCAGACAATATTAGATTATGACCTCTACTATTATGACATCAACGGTGCTGACATATAAAGTACTAATCTAATTCTATATGTTAGTCATTTATTTATTATCTATTTATTTATTATCAAAATTTATATGCTGCCCAATCCCGAAGGATTACTAGTCATGTAATCATTTAAAGCTTCTTTGCTTAGATAAGTGAAATATAATAGTGCTGATAATCTTACATGTGTTCCTCAAGTTTTGTTTCATTCTTTGGTTCATCCTTCCAAAATACTTTGGATGTATGTTACTGGGCAATACTGATAATAGGATGTTTGTGAGCCTTTTGTGTACAAATGTGGTTGTGGAATTCTGGTTTGCGTTTGCTAATAGACATCTTTTTAATATAAAGTCTCCATATGAATTGGTCTAGAGTTTCCTGTTTGGACTAGAAGATCTACAAGGTCCCTTCCAACTTCATTATTGATAGTTCCCAAAGGTGCTTTTTCAAGAGGCAACTGGTTTTTCTTTGAAGATATTTTGCTTCTCATCCAAGAAGCTTCTTCAGTTCCCAGAAAATCCAGTTGCCTCTTGAAAAAGCACCTTTGGAAGAATCACGACCTAGATGACTGAGAATCTCCATAAACAGTTGTTATTGATATATATGTCATTAGGATTGTGAGGGCAGTCTTTCCACTTGAAGCCAAATAAGAAAAAGGAATTTATAAATATAAAGTTATATTTTAAACTGGAAGATGAAACAACTTGGAATTCTCTTCTCAGGACCACCACCACCCCTGGTTATTTTAAAGTATTCAAAAACCAGAGAATCTGTAGCATCCAGTGTTCTAAATCCAGGAAGTATTTAGGAACTCAGTACAAATGATCTGCCTCTGAGTCAGTTGTTTCTGCTTTCTTTTGTTTTCCAGACTTGATTAAATCTCTTAAAAAACAGTTGAACCCAGGCTTGTAAAAATAAAAACTTCTTAAGGGGAAGTTCTGATAAGGAAGCAAGGATTGTTTGTGGGGGAGAGGGGACGGGAGGCTGAGAGAGGAATATTGCTTTGCTAACCCAGCCCAGGCAAGCCGGCATTCTGTTCCCGGAAATGTGTGACGCAATAGCCCTTTGGCCTGAAATGACAGCGATTCCCTCCCTAGCAAGTTCTTTGTTGTTTGCCAAGGAAACCAGCTGATTGCTGCTCTTTTGAGAGCAGTCTGGATATTTTAGAGCTACAACTCCAAGTTGCACTCTGGCTGATTCATCCCCAAATTCCCTTCCCGTTGTTGAAAAATCTTGTCTTGGTTTCTCCTCCCGAACTGGCAGAGTGGATTTTTTAACTCCCCCTTGTTTGTTTGTTTTTCAATTGTGCCGTTTGAGCAACAAAGAGCCGCCCTGCCCTTTCATTTTTTTCAGAGAAAGTGGGCGGAAGGCCATTGAGTGTCTTCCACCATAGAATCCTTTTAAGTTGTCTGTCGACACCAAATAAACAACAATGCTGTTTTCTCACTTGCCTGCTATTAGAAACCAGGAGTGATGAAGTCACAGGGCCATCCTTTCAAATATATTATAAATAGTCTCTCCCCATCATTTCCTTGGGCACTGGGAAGTTTAACCTGCGCAGTGTGTATGATTTAAAATTTTTTTAAAGAAAACTTGCTTCCCTTAAATAAGAAAAAACTGGTTACTTTGGAAGTGTTTTCCCCAAGTCCAGCTAGGTATTACACAAACCTAGGAGAAGTGGTTACATGATGGGGGAAATACAGCTGCAGATGCTTTCTAGATTCAGAGCTCATGTTCCATTTAAGTTTTTTTTATTGGAAGAATATTAATATATATTCTGGCTCTGCTTTTTTGTTTTCCAGGTGGCCATGGCTACAGGGCAGGTGCTGTTCCAGCGTTTCTTTTATACAAAATCATTTGTGAAGCATTACATGCAGGTATGTAGTTTATTTCCTGAAACCCCGGGGTGGGGGTGGGGGGGCTGTAAACTCAATTGCCATTTTTGGAACATTAGACTATTGAAAGTTTTTCTGCTTGACATCCTGAGCTGATCTTACTAGCCGATAGATCCTGTTGATCTCGAATACAATTAATGTTTTCAGGCCTTCGGTTTAGTATCCACATGAATTGTCTTTTTCCTCTTGGGCCACATCCACAATGTATCACATGGACGCTAAATTTGGCCTTGATTGAAACATATGCTCCTTTTCCTTCATTGCTGACATTTAAGCAACTTTTAAAAGATTGAGAAATTCTACCTCCTGCGTCAGAAAGAGATGACTCACTGAAAACATTAGAGAAATTTGTTTTTTCCCCCTTTCTTTCAAAAATTATAATGAAAGCAAAGCTGAGGTCATTTAGAAAGACCTTTTTTGGAGTTTCCCTGGGAGGAGCTTAATGATAAGGTACCTACCTGAATGTCAGGTGTGTGTGAAGCGTTAACATTCTGGGTCCCATAATGACAGAGCTTTTTTAAAAGTACAGGTGGTCTTTGACTTAAAGCCATAGCTCACCCCAAATTTCCATTGTTATGCGAGAAAGTTGCTAAGTGAATTTTGCCCCATTTTACGACTGTTCTTGGCACAGTTGCTAATTGAGTCACTGCAGTTAAGTTATTCGCACGGTTGTTAAGTTAGCCTGTCTTTCCCCACTGAGGTCACAATGGGATATCATGATCCTGGGACATTGCGACGGTCATAAACAGGAGCCAGTTGCCAAGCGTCTGCCTTCTGATCAAGTGACCATGTAATGGCTGTAAGAGTGGGAAATGGTCACAAGTCCCCCTTTATAGTGACGTAGTAACTTCAGTCACTAAAGGAATGGTTGTAAGTCCGGGGTTTCCTGTGAAAATAAACGAAAGGGGCAGCTGGGTGAGCTTGGATGGCCTGCGTGAAGAAGACTGGCTCAGAATTCAGTCGTCCAAATGGTTCTCTCGCAGTTCAGAATGACATTTCTGTTGTCTCTTTCCAGCATGTGTCGATGGCCTGTCTTCATTTGGCTTCCAAAATTGAAGAAGCCCCACGGCGCATAAGAGACGTGATCAATGTATTCCACAGACTTCGGTTGCTGAGAGAGAAGAAGTAAGTATGAAGTGTGGCGGGCTTGAGGGGGGGTGTCTCAGTTCTCGCAGTTTCTAGTTTGGCCTTTTTGCAAGAATTCTTGTACGGCTCGACCATCACACACACACATACACACACATGCCTTGTCATTCATGTTCTGGCCACTTTTCCTGCATCCACCTGCGCTATAGGGGTGTTTTAAGGATCCCGTCTTTCTTGGATTGTGGATCCCAACCAATCCAGGAAGGGGATTCGCAGCGATTCCTCCCCCTCTGTTCACGAAGGAGATCATCGCTGGGGTTCTTATCTCCAGGTTTTTTTGTCCCTGATCTTGGCAAGAGGGAGACTGCTGTTATGTTGCTAGAAATAATATAATTGCTGGAGGCGCTACAACAGGAATGGAGCTTTGCATGGGCGAAAAACCCATTCTGGGACTGAAGAATAGGTTAAGGAGGGGAAATTCAGGCTCGAATTGGGTGCCTGGCACTCACCAAAAGGATCTTGCAGGTTCCAGATGGAGAATTTAAACCTTTCTCGATCTGGTTCCCTTCAACTGTATTGGATTGCACCCAGGGATGAGGTGTTGTGGCCTGCTGGCCCCTTCAGCAGCCGAATCAGGGGAGGAGGAGTAGGAGTGGGAGTCAGGGTCAGCATCGAGGCAACCTGAGGGGAAAGAGGGAATGGAGCTGTCGGAGAGAGAGAGACAGAGGAAAAGCCTAGGCCGTCTGTCAGCCCTCAGATGGAGAGTCAACAGCTCCCAGGTCTGGAGGTGGCTGATGAGGAAGAGGAGGAACAGTGCCTGACGCATGGATGTGCAGAAAGCGGAGAGGAGAACAGTGGAAACCTATGGGCTGGTCCTTGGGACGGAAGAGCCACCGCTGCTAGCGAAGCCCCATTCTAGCTATGGGGATAAAAGGAAGGGGGCGGAGATGAATAGATGTGGCAGACAACTATTCATCTTCCAGCCGGCCGGTCTTGTTAGCCTGCGGTGAAAGAGAGGCTTTTTGCCAGGGCTGCCGGCATTCTTAATAAAGAAATCCTTTGAGTTCATGCCAGAGAGTTTGTTGTGTTTGGGGAGCTGGGTCAGAACATGAGGGCTATGGCTTCAATTGAGTTGATTTTTCCATTCAGACTGTACAAAAAGCTGGCACTAAGACTCCTCCTGTGGCGTTTAGGCTGTTGAGGTTTCAGCCAAGACCTCCTTCCTTCCTTCCTCCTCCACACAGGAAACCTGTCCCCCTAATACTGGATCAAGAATACGTTAACTTGAAGAACCAAATTATCAAGGCGGAGAGGAGAGTTTTGAAAGAACTTGGATTTTGCGTGCACGTGAAGCATCCTCACAAGGTTCGTATTAGGCTTCCTGTTTTTTACTTCCTTATATATCTGTTGCCTGGGCAGACCAAAGAATTGGACTTTCTCTCCTCCCCCCTCCCCTTTAGAAAAAGATAACTCTTTAAGGCCCACTGTGTCACCTGTGACTGAACAGTTGGATTCCCATTTTAAGCGCTGATCACCTTTCTATGTTAAGGATTGCTTGTTTCAATCCGCATGACAGGAGGGGGGTCTTTTGTATGTCCAGGTAACTCTGTAAATGTTTCTCGGTTGTGCATCAAATCTTCCCAGATGCTCACATCCTTGTGCAAGGGAGTGTTTTCTCTTTCTTCCTCTCTGCTTTGCTGTATGGCTTCCTTTTTTTTTTTTTGACTCAACAACATTCAAGTACTGTTCCCTTTGAGAGTGAAACAAGCTGGCAACCTCATAAGAGCGGGAATAAAACTGCATCTTCTCAGTGCTTTTAAGTACCATCAGAGGTGTGTTTGAATTACACTACGCCTCACAAAGACCTTGGTTTTGTCTCTTGGTTGTGCCAGGAAAGGACACCAGGATTTCCCATTCAGGCCCCTTTGCAGGTTTTCCTAACCAAATTGCATCCCTCTCTCTAATCTTCTACAATCGGAGCCCAGCGTCTTAAGAAAGTAAATTATCATTAGTAAAGTCCTGGTAGGTTTTTTTTTTTTTTTTCTTGGGGAGCAGAGCCTGGTGAATGGACTGTTTCTCCTAAATTTGCTGGCTGACCCTCACTCTGCACTGTCCCTCACTATATAATAGAGGGGAGTAAGGGAAAACTCTGGATAAAATGTTTTTTGCATTAATGAAATCTGGTTTGTCAGCTTCAGAAATGAGGATATCACAGCCGTAGTTTAGGGTTATCCGGAGCAGTAAGAGACACCCATCTCCTATGCATTGTGGCTCCCATGAATTTTTCTCCCACCATGCTCTGTTTAATTCCTTTCTTGGCATTTTTTTTATTTTTTTAACTGAGCTGTGATGGCGGAGCGGTTAGAATGCCGCGTTGCAGGCTTCCTGCTCGCTGCCATCGGTTCGATCCTGAATGGCTCAAGGTTGACTCAGCCTTCTGTCCTTCCAAAGTCAGTAAAACGAGAACCCAGATTGTTGGGGGCCAAGAGCTTGATTCTGTCACCCCGCTTAGACAGGGCTGTAAAGCATCGCGAAGCGGTAGATAAGTGCTGTTGCTTCTCACAATATAAGCTCCTAAGCCTTTTCCCCATTGGGCAGTCTTACTCGTTCCTGGGCATGCTCTGAAGCCCAAAGTAAGATAGATTAGTTCTTTTTTTTTAAAATCTCTTCAGCAATTGGTACAGTTTTTGGGTGGATACTGAAGGAGGAAGCTCTCTCCAGTTTTAACTTCCTTTGGAACAGGAACAGGAAAACAATCTGAGCAGGCTGAAGAGAGCCAGGGCTGGAAGCATTAAATGTTCAGGAGAAAGCTTTGCATTATGTGTGTGTACTTCTGAGTCTCACTTCTCTGCTTCTGGAGGACATATATATATATATATATATATATCTAGAACTAGCTGATAACCTGGGGTTGCCCAGGTATTTATTTATAGGGGGAAAATGTCCGGACCAAACGTAATTTCTAATGTTGGATTTTTTCCCCATACCAGAGAGAAGCCCCTTGTGGAGTACTGTGAAGCTGTTACCATGGCAACTCCACTGCACTGTACAGTAAAAGCCATTTTATGG